TTCATTTGTATCCCCCGATAAGCCCCTTCCTCCTCCTCTTCCAATACCACCCTTCCTCCCTCTTCTTCACGCATGCCCCTCCCCAAGTCCACTGAAAGGGGAGGTCCTAGTCTCCTTTCTTCTGATCTTAGTCTATCAGATATCATCAAGAGTGGCTGCATTGTCATCTTCTGTAGCCTGGTAAGGCTGGTCCCGCCTCAGGGGGAGGTGATCAAAGAGCAGGCCAATCAGTTCATGTTAGAGGCAGTCCCTCTTCCCATTACTATGTAACCCACTTGGACACTAAAATGCCATGGGCTACATCTGTGCAGGGGTTCTAGGTTATCTCCATGCCTGGTACATGGTTGGAGAAAGTGTCTTTGCGAAGACCCCTGTGTTCAAATTTTCTGATTCTGTTGCTCTCCTTGTGGAGTTCCTGTCCTCTCCAGATCTTACTATTTCCCATTTTTTACATAAGATTCCATGCACTCTGCTCAACAGTTGGCCATAAGTGTCAGCGTCTGCTTTGATAGTCTGCAGGGCAGAGTCTTTCAGAGGCCCTCTGTGGCAGGTTCCTAGGTTGTTTCCTGTTTTCTTTTTCTTCTGATGTCCATCGTCTTTGCCTTTCAGGATGAGAATTGAGCGTTGTAGTCGAGGTCCTCTCTCTTGATTAGTTTCTTTAGATGTACCTATTTTACTAGGTTTATCCTATACTATATGTATATATGACTGAGTATATACTGTGTGTGTCTATCTGCTTCTGGGACAGCTCACTCAGGATGATCCTTTCCAGGTCCCACCATTTACCTGCAATTTTCATGATTTCCTTACTTTTCATTGCTGAGTAATACTCCATTGTATAGATGTACCACAGTTTCTGCATCCATTCTTCAGTTGAGGGGCATCTGGGCTGTTTCCAGCTTCTGGCTATTACAAATAAAGCTGCTAAAAACATGGTTGAACACATGTCCTTATTGTGTACTTGAGCCTCTTTTCGATATGCCTAGGAGTGGTATGGCTGGATCTTGAGGAAACACTATTCCTAGTTGTCTGAGAAAGCGCCAGATTGATTTCCAGAGTGGTTGTATGAGTTTACATTCCCACCAGCAGTGGAGTAGGGTTCCCCTTTCTCCACAACCTCTCCAGCATGTGTTGTCATTTGAGTTTTTCATCTTGGCCATTCTGATGGGTGTAAGGTGAAATCTCAGGGTTGTTGTGATTTACATTTCTCTAATGGCTAATGAAGTTGAGCATTTCTTTAAGTGTTTCTCTGCCATTCAATATTCCTTTATGGAGAATTCTCTGTTTAGATCTGTTCCTCATTTTTTAATTGGATTACTTGGTTTGCTGCTTTTCAGCTTCTTTATTTCTTCATATATACTGAATATTAGCCCTCTGTCAGATAAAAGATTGGTGAAGATTCTTTTCCAATCTGTAGGCAGTCGTTTTGTTTTGATGATGGTGTCCTTTGCTTTACAGAAGCTTTTCAGTTTCATGAGGTCCCATTTATTGATTGTTGCTCTCAGAGCCTGTGCTGTTGGTGTTCTGTTCAGGAAGTTGTCTCCTGTGGCAATGAGTTCAAGGGTATTCCCCACTATTTTTTTTCTAACAGATTTAATGTGTCTGGTTTTATGTAGAGGTCTTTGATCCATTTAGACTTTAGTATTGTGCAGGGTGATGAGTATGGATCTATTTTCATTTTTCTACATGTAGACATCCAGTTAGACCAGCACCATTTGTTGCAGATGCTATCTTTTTCCCATTGTATATTTTTGCCATCTTTGTCACAGATCAGGTGTCCATATGTGTGTGGGTTTATTTCTGTCTTCTATTCGGTTTTTTCCATTGTATCTTCCTCACCTCAGATTCTTTCTTCCATCTCTTGTATTCTATTGGTTATGCTAACCTCTGTAGTTCCTGTTTTCTTCCCTAAGTTCTTTCTCTCCACAGTTTCCTCCATTTGTGTTTTCTTTAATTTTTCCAATTCTGTCTTCAGATTTTGAGCCATTTTGTTGATTTCCTTCAGTTGTCTGACTGTATTTTCCTGTTTTTCCTTTAATTCCTTCAGCTGTTTGAACAATCCCTTTTCTTGTATTTCTTTCAGTGATTTAATCATTTCCTCTCTAAAGGCCACAAACTGGCTGCAACTTCTTGTATTTCTTTATGGATGGCCATAATTTGTTTTTATCTTCCTGTATTTCTTTATGGATGGCCATAATCTGTTTAAGTTTATCTTCCTTTATGTGTTTACGCATTTTATTTGTTTCCTTTGTTATCCTCTTCATGAGCATAGATGTTAGGTCATCTTCTTGAATTTCAATTATGCTGGGGTGTCCAGAGCTACTTGCCCCTGGATAACTGGATTCTGGAGATGCCATATTGCTCTGTCTTTTGTTGGTTGAGCTTTTACGATGGCCCCTACTCATTGGGCTATCTTAGTTGTTTGGAGTTAGTTTCTTGTGGTTCCTGGAATCCTGTGGTGGAGAGAATCCTCTTGGCAGGAAGATGGTTTTTCCTGAAGTAAGCATCCTCAGCTTTTTGAGTATAGTTACTAGATGGCCGGTGTTTTTCAGGAGGTGCTGCTGTTCACCTCAGGCATAGAGACCTGAGTGGTACCTATGGTCTTTGTTAGTGAGAGGGCTCTCCTCTCACCTGAAGAAGTCCTAAAGACCACTGCCCTGCTTCTGTGTTTCTTGCTGTAAATTTAGTGATCTGCTGTAACCTGTTTGTCCCATGGTTTGGTCAGTTTTGTTAGGGATAAGTGGTTGCCCCTTAAAGCAGTATCTGGGGGTTGATCTCGGGGATACCGGGCTTTTGTAGGTCTGAGGTTGAGGCTCTGTGCCTCAGTACCCAAGAGGTAATCTGTGGCGGGTGGGTACCACTCTCCTGGTAACAGCAGGCTATCTGGTGCACAGCAGGTCCCTGGGTTGGGTCGGTCTGCGGGTCCTTTTCCAGGGATTTACTGGGTGGCCTAAGTCATTCCCCTTTGCTTCGTTCCCTGTGAGGATTTTTGCACACAGTGACTCCCAGTCTCTGGTGCCCTGTGGTGCACAGCTCTGTCTGTGCCTGAGAGATGGGCATGCAGCAAATGTATGTGCTCTGGGCTGGAGCCCAGTTCAGTGATGGCAGCTCGCACCCGCAGGTCTGCAAGATTTTTTTTCCAGGGAAAGACTGGGTGCCCCAAGTCAGTGCTATTTCCTTCCTTCCCTGCGGGGTTTTCTCCTGACAGGGACTCTGAGTATCTGTTGCCCTGGGGCACACAGCTCTGTCTGTGCCAGAGAGCTCTAGGTGCGCAGCAACTGTCTGTGCTTGCGGAGCCCTCTTCCGTGATGGTGGCTCATACCTGCCAGTCTGTGAGACTTTTTCCAGGGAAAGACTGGGTGACCCAAGTCAGTACCGTTTTCTTCCTTCCCTGTGGAGTTTTCTCGCAACTAGGACTCCCAGTCTCTGGTGATTTTTTTGCCCACCGTTCAGCCTGGGAAGGTGATCAGGACACACAGGCGTGTGGCTCTGGTCTGGCGACCTAGTGCCTGCATGACCTGGGATCTCTTCCGGGTTCTGGCTGGGTGACCTGAGAGTGGACCCGACTGATTCCCATGCCGTGGGGGTTTCCTCTCTCCCGGGAAACACGATCGCTGTTGTTTTAGGGCTCAGAGTTCAGTCTCTTGCTTGCTGTAGGGAAAATGTAATCCTGCTCCTCAGAAGCAGTGTTCTCTTGGCGCCCCATCTTGTCCCTCCCTCCCCGCCCCCTGCCTTGTAGTATTCTTATCCTCTATTATACAGCTAAAATCCCCTAATAAGTGAGTATGTATCATGTATGTCTTTCAGGGTCTGGAGTACCTCACTCAGGATGATCTTTACTAGTTCCATTCATTTGTCTGTAAATTACATGATTTCTTTTTTAATAGCTGAGTTTTATTCCATTGCATAAATGTGCCACAGTTGCTTTTTCTGTTCTCTGGTTGAGGAACACCTAGGTTGTTTCCTTATTCTGCCTAGTGTGAATAAAGCTGTTCTGAACATAGTTGAGCAAATGTCCTTATTGAATGGTGGAGCATCTTTTGGGTTTATACGCAAGTGAGGTATAGTTGGATCTTGGGGTAGTGCTTTTCCCAATTTTCTGAGAAAGTGCTAGATAGATTTCCAAAGTGGTTGTGTAAGTTTACACTCCCACCAACAGTGGAGGAGTGTTTCCCTTTCTCCACACCTTCACCTGGATGTGCTGAAGCTTGAGATTTTGATCTTAGCCATTCTGACCAGTGTAAGATAGAATCTCAAAGTTGTTTGTTTTGCATTTTTCTGATGACTAAGAAAGGTGAGCATTTATTTAAGTGCTTCTCACCCATTCAAGTTTCCTCTGTTGAGAATTCAAATCTTAGTACCCACATCAATCAGGTTGTAACCACCTATAATTACAGCTCGATGGCACTCAAGCCCTTCTTCTGATCTTCATGAATGCACACATATATGCACTAATAAAAATTAAAATGTAAATCTTAAAAATGTTTTAAGATGTCTGATTTAATTTCTAGGAATCACCATAATGGACATATATATAGAAATAGGACTAGCTGAAACTTTAAACAAGGTTGTACCAACTTTTTTTTAAATATTCTTCACATACTGTGTTATTACTAACATACAAACTCATTGAAATAGTTATATTTATTGTACATCAAATTTCTCTAAAAATTGCCTGTTATCTGTAAAAGATACTAATATTTTATGATCAATATTCAATTAGCAAAAAAATAAATAAAATTGATTTTCTGTAAAAATTATTTCCCTTTTTTCTGATTTTCCATAAGTCTCTTCTCAGATTTTTCTTCTCTCGTCTAAGGCAGTTTTCTGACTTTTTTTTTCAGTGAAAAGTCTATAGAGTTAATGAAAGTAATTAAGCTAGAATACATTTATGCAGTAGCTTATCACAATAACTCATATAATATTATAGCATGATAAAGCAAAGAAAACCTTTTCATACTGACATTACATGATTCTTATTTTCTAATCCACTCTCCTAGGTAACTTCAGATCTCTCAATAGTTTGGGGAAATCCTTGTATCACCATAGAACCTGACAACTCAACTCCGTACATTCTCCATGTATGTCCTTGGAAACGTGGAGAATTCAGAGGTATTAAGTCCTTAATAAAATATTTTTTGTGAATTACATTGCCTGGAGAGAAATATGGAAATAATAAACACAACTATAATTTTTTTTTATTTTCTTTTTGGATAAGTGATATTGGAGAAAGCATAGTTTGTCAATTCATTCTAGCTTTTCAAATAAATATAGCTTTGTGGTATGTATTTTATAGCAAGTATTACTTTGTCTTTGAGACTCCAAATATATCTCTATAAGAAAGTTTAAGAATTGCAATACAGGGTAGAAAAAAAAGAAAAGAAAAAAAAAGAATTGCAATACTTAGTTAAAGGTGTTTATATTTGAAATTTAATAGATACATTAAAATAACTAGAAGAACAGCTATTATAAAACTTATATGTACACAATTAACAGAAGAAAAGTATTACTTATCTCTAAAAAAGTGTTTATAGAGAAGTTACCATTTATACTTGAGGAGCATTATTTGATAGGGAATGAGAAGAAAGGTAGTGAAAGTGGGAGGACATAGGAATTAGCCAGCATCATGGTGATTTATTCTTGTAATGATTGAATTTAGAATAAGAGGACAATGTTGAATTCCTGGCCAGCTTCAGTTATACAGTAAAATCCTTTTATATTATAAAATAGTTAATAGCTAGTACTGAATAACTACTATTCATCAAAGTATTTTTTTTCAAATTAGAAGATAATTAAGTGCCCCATTTGTGGACGTATCCTACTGGGAAGATATACTTACTGGACATAATTTTAGAAGTGTATTAAGCAGATCACTTATAGTCATCTTAAGGTCTCTAGAAGTACTGATCTTTCCACCCTGTTTGCTTTGCTAAAGACTATCTTTACAAAGGGTCTATTATAATATCATAAAATTTGAAAGTGTGACCCTATTTATTGCAAACATATCAATGAAGTAATTTATTTCAGTGTTGCAGATGAACCAGAAGGTATGGATTGACCATACCTTCCCGATAAGGTAAGGAAACCCACAACTGTGAGGCCTGGGGATGTATTTCAGCTCTGAGGTGGGGCAGTGTCCCAAGGGACCAGTATCCTGAGACAGAGAAACCCAGGAACCACTCAGCTCTAAAAAGACCCCTCCTCAGTAGAGTCATTGCAGCTTCCAGGGGAGGGTTACTCCAACTTCTGAGGAGCTGAGGCGCTCCTGACCTACACTCTGCTCTTTCTGTGCTTCTTCTCCTCTGGGCTTCTTTGCTTCTTCAGATGAAAAAGTCACACCAGGCAGTAAATCTCTTAAAAGATATTTATTGGAGAGAGGAATCCTGGAGTGTCTGGCTCTGCTTCCAGGAAAAGGAGCAAAGAGCTGAGCAAAAGACTTCATATATGAGTTTTTAGAGGAAGTACTTTCTAGAACAGAGATTTCCAGAGTGAGGATTGGTGGGATTTTACGTCCTGAGCTTGGAGGAAGCTTAGGGTTTGGTGTATTTTTGTTCAGCCTTTTCACTTAAAATTAGCATAAATCCTGGAGGGACCCCACTAATGGGCTGGAGATGTTGGCATTTGTTACAGTTAGAGGACAGAACTGCCATTTTTACAGAAAGTTGTGATGGAGGGGACTATTAACTCATGTCCTAAGGGGTTTATAGAGACTTGAACTCTAAACTAAACAAAACAACTTTCCTTAGCTAAACTATGAATTTATACTAAGGGGTCAGATTTTTAGTGTGGCAGAGTCACACCATGTAAAGCTACCTGCCTCTGTGTAATCTAGTTTATAAATTGTTACCACAAAGATGGTGCTAGAGCTCACAGACTAGCTCCCTGCCAGCAGCAGCCATAACTGGGCCCCAGATGATGATGTTTTTCTCTGTGGCTTCAGCTTCTCACTTTCTCCAGGGATCTGTTCTCAGGTCCCAGGGCTGTGCAGATTTAGCCTCAGTCAACTGGAGACCTGAGATGTTGCTGTCTGGAGGTGTGGAGAGGTAAGCATCACAAGTTGAAGATCTGGGTACCTTCTTCAGGGACCACAGGGTGTGGCAGCCAGGGGAACTGAAGACCTGAAGAGGGGGTACACAGGGAAAGATGTGTGGGATATCCTAGAGGCAGCCTGGCATAGCTGCTGGAGCTCCTCAGAAGGGCCAGTGCACTTTTCTGAAAATTATACAAAGTTTAAAAAGTATGCACAATAAAGGGAGACTGGCAGAGAAGGTTTTCCTGTCCTGAATAGCCAACTACAGAATAATATTACTTAAAGTTTATTTCTGATTTTCTTATTCCAGATTTTTAAACATACTATTTAGTAGACTTTTCTAATTTTACAGTTTTATCTAGTATTCATTAAAAGATATTGTCCATAAGTTTCACATAATTTTGGTGTTTTTTTTTTTTTCAAAGACAGGGCATCAGTACATAATAAACTTCTCACTTAAGCTTCTTAAATCTTCTCATTGAAGCCACACACCATGTCATCCAAATTCATGATTATTTTCATAATAACTTATAATTCTTAATTTACTATTCACCAAAACCAATGAATTTTATTGCTTTATGAAAATGAACCACAAATTCAAATTATTCAGTTAGATATACGAAGAATTAAATCAATCCATTTAATGTTTTCTCTGTATATGCTCACTTTGTTTATGGTAGTAGGTTTGGTGAGTTTATAATATTTCAGAACATGATTTTGATAATTATGTATTTGAGTCACCAGACTGCTTCAGCACATTGAACATATACTCTTCCGTTCATTGTTATATACTTTCCCATATTATATAGCATATAATGATAGATAGGATGTGGCTCCTGACCCTCATGAATTTGCATCTCATTTTGGGTCTAGATATCTTGAAATTAAGCTATACTTTGATATATTGAAACTTTAGCCATAGCCATGGGAAGCAGCAAAGGGGAAGAAACGTTAATCTCAAAATGGGAATGTGAGACACCTTCAATAGAGGATAATGTGTGAGCTGGAAGTTGCATCAGCAGACAGAATAGAAGAAGAAAATTGAACAGGTGAAACAATATTATTGAAAACAATGAATATATATCATGTAAATATAAAAATTAAAATTATTGATTATATATGTGAGTGGAATATAAAGTGACATATAGCTAGAAATATATACAGACTTTTCCAGGAAGAATCATATTATATTTCTAATTAAAGATGGCTAGTCATGCTTGATATTCCTTTAAGTATTAGTTCATGCCAAAGGAAAAGTTTCAAGAGAGGAAGGCTATAACTAATAGAATTTATTGAAATGAGATTCTTCTAAAAGCATTGAGAAGTATCAGGCATAAGCAGGCTAGGATTAAATCCAAGTGTTAGAGTACTTGTCTTGCATGTATGATGCACTGCAGTTGCTTAGGCCTACAGCACAACCACCACAATAGCTTACCCAGGCAGCAAGTGCTTAGCCACAGGTCCTGAAACCAGTATTCTAGATGGTAGATAGTGGACACCACCGGCTACCCTATGGGGCCCATATCTGAGAGTAGAGAACAATGGGTCCACTGTTCCTTCCACATATGCCTGCAAGTGAGAAGGTACAGAGATCCAGACCTAGAGACTCTCCTGCACAAGCAGGTAGACATTGGATCCCTCCCACCACCACCCCCATTGTGGACAACATCCGGATCCCTGAGACAGCATTCTCAACATGCAAGCCCCCATTCTGCAGATCTCTCAATGGAGTCCAGGCAAACAATTCCTGAAACAGAGATGAACAGCCCAGACAGATATAAGTGTCTGGAGCAGAGAGTACGACAGGACTGTGGGCCACTGAACCATTCTGGGCACATGCATAGGGCCACTGCACCCTGGAACCATGCCAGGCCCACCACCTGTAATTAAGCTCTACACTCCCAGACATCTACATGTGTTTGCCTCTTCCTTCAAGGCACACTTCCAAGGACAGTCCCGAAAGAACATAGATGTGCCTGTGTCATTTCTTACTTACCTGCATCCAAAACACCAATACACATACACCAAAACTGATGAAGCACTCTTATCTTCCTGAAGAATACTCCAGACTCCAGAGACAGGAAGGCCCAGTCTGCAGTAGAGGCTCTAGAAACACACAGCAAAGGCTGTAAACAATCAGATGGCTAGAGGACAGCTTAGGAACACATCCAACAAAAATCAGGACATTATGGCTTCACCAGCAACCCCAAAAATCAATGGATAATTTAATTCAATGGAAACACAGGGAAATGATCTCAAATCTATGCTTATCAAGTTATTAGAGGTACATATAAAGGAAATGAACAAAGCGCTCAATGAAATACAGGAGAATACAGCCAAACAAATAGAGGTGCATAAAAAGGAAACAAACAAAAAAGAGAGGCCATCATGGACAGACAGGAATCCAAAATCAAACACATGAAGGAAATGGTACAAGACATGAAAACATAATTAGAATCAATAAAGAAAACACACTGAGAAATTCCTAGAGATGGAAAACCTAGCGAAGAGATCAGAACCACAGAGGTAAACATCATTAAACGAATACAAGATATGGAGAGAGACTCTTAGACGCTTAAGATAAAATCAAATAAATCAAGACATCTCTCAAAAAATGCATAAAATCAAAATAGGTCCTCACATAAACATCCAAGAAATCAAAAACACAACTTAAAAATAATAGGAATAGACGAAAAATAAGATTCCAGGCTCTAAAGTCCAGAAAATATTTTCAGGAAACCCACAGAAGAAAATTTTCTGAATGTAAAGAAAGAGATATCTCTAAATGTACATCAGGCTTACATAACACCAAATAGACTAGTCCAGACAAGAAACTCTTCATGTCACATAATAATCAAAACACTGAATCTACAGAAACAACAACAAAAATATTTAAAGCAGCAACATAAAAAGGCCAAGTAACATATAAAGGTAGACTTATCAGAAACACATGAGACTACTGAACAGAACCTATGCCAGAGGACCTGGGCAGATGTCATGCAGTCACTAAGAGACCACCCAGAATACTGTAGTCAGAAAAACTTTCAATTAACATAGAGGGAGAAAAGAAAATATTCTATGA